GAACAACGGAGGAGGAGGAGAATCTGGGTATGTTCCTGGCAACTTATCTGACTTACTATCATTACATGCATACCACATACGTGCAGGCGGGTACGAGTACACGCATTAACATCGCAGGAATAATCGTGATTTTGGTAAGGAAGCATCTGCTCGACCAAAACCAGATCCACTTTACACGCCATTCGCACCCACTTCTCCCTTCTGCAAATATGAGGGGAAAACCTAAACTATTCACTTAACTTATTAGATACCTCATTAGATTAAACGGCATAGCAGCACTGTGCGCCGGAAGCTTCTACTGTTAAATCAACAATCATAAGGCTGAGGCGATCTCTGGCACTATTTTGCGAATTCTTTCAAATCACTCTTTGTACAAAAAAATAAATTTATTTGGAGATTCATCAAAACCCAGCTCCTTTTCATACGTCCGATGTTTTGTTTTAAAAACATCCATAAAACGGCAATATATTTTCATAATTTATTTTATCTGTACTTCGGTTAATTGACTTATGGAGATTTCGCAAGCCATATTTGCCTATTTCATGCTCATAATCTTTCCGATCGTATTTTCTTATAGTATTGATTTCTTCTATCAAGAAACAACATGTCTTTCTACTGAACTTCACCGCACCATGGATCTTAAGAGGTCGTTCTTATCCGTAGTGAATCATAGTTTCGACATCGTCTAAGTCTTGGTAACATTCTCGCTCTGTTTAATACATCTTATTTTAGTTCGATTCCGGTGTATAAAGTAGAATTTTTAATTAATTTCTGGACATTTTTTAGTTCAATGAGCCTTCCAGTATTTGCAGGAAACTTATATGATTTGTTAGGTGTTCTCATAATGAAGTAAATGATTAGGCTTCTAAGTATTTTATGCCACTTGGCCGATATTATTTTATTTTTAGTCGAGGTTACCTTGGCACATTTCTAACACTTTATATATGGAGATAGGAATACTCAGATTGGATAACCGGTTTTCAAGGGTATATTATTAATTAATCAACTACGTAATCCTGCTTCTCGTCTAAAAAATGTTCTGTTACAAATCTCGTTATCAATGTACTTCATCCGTCTTCTACAATATCTTTGGAAATATCCGATTGAATTAAGGTTATACATTTGAAATCAATTATTCAATAGTAGCTCAAATATTACGTCATTACCCTGCATAGAAAATATGATCTCAGACCTCCTTTTCAGTTCATAGTCTCAATATAAGTCAAAAAGATCCTCATCCTGTATGCCTCATTTGTTCAACAATCAAGTTGAATAACTTACTGAAAGATGAACCAAATATTATTATTTTTAACAAAATGCCTTTTAAATGTTCTGAATGGTCGGAATTGGAAACAAGGCAAGTCTTAATCATATTTTATTTTTCTACATCTTGGCCCTAATCTGAACTCAGATTGCTTGCTTATATAATTTCAGGGTTCTCGGGCTCAGGTGCGTGGTAGCCAGTGGCCATCCAGCCTCAGAGGACTATCGACTACTGATAGCTCTACAACTTGTTTTGCGCCACCAATAGCAGTCTCAAGAGCAGATACCAAGTCAGGTGGAGCCTCTGCTAAAATTCCCACAAAACCCTATAAAATGGCCATATCTGCTTTCCAACGTGCAGGTAGCTGGCTGCCAACGCCTAGATATCATAAACCTTCACCTCCGCTAACGGTCTACCGAGCTGCAGACGTCAAACGCGTTGATCCTGATGTAATTGAAGGTTATTTGGGCGCCTATATCGATGTGATCAAGGTGGGAAGCCATTTAGTATTGGATGAGCGTCAAAAAGAGGACGCAATAATGAAGCAGGTGGATGAAGACGAAGAGGTGGTAAATGAAATAAAAAGCGATTATAAGGAGGATTTGAGCAGGAGAGATGAAGACAGTCAAAAAGGAAGCGAAGAAACAAAAGATGAGATGCCAATGTTCTCATTAAGAGATGCTAAGTCTAGGCCTTTTGAGGCCAATGTGAATGAGACCCGAGAGGAAGAGATTATAGAGGAAGCAGATGAAGTGAAGGACATGTCGGCCGCAGCAACAGATAGTTCTACCTGGCTTGAAGAGGCTCTGCTGGGATACTACCGATCTCACACCACTTGTGCACTTATCGATCCTGCAACCCGTCTTACTAAAGTAAGATTTTCTTTTATTTTTATTTACACATATTCTTTATGCATCCTATTCCCGAAGCTTAGATCAAGAGCCTGCTTTTCACGAATGCTTAACAAATCTAAAGTCTGAGTGGTATAATTCCGTTAACGCTACGCAAGCGTTCGATTAAATAGAATAATGTTACTTTTGACATAAGTGACTTGAGTTCAGCCTGAAGATGCTACATTAAGATAGTAATCTGTGCAAGAAAGGTAAAACTTGTCCTTAAGGTGCTGATTAAAATCCGGAATTGCTCATCTCGAATGGCATGTTATGCCAACCCTATTTCGTAGGGGACTTTGCTTCTTGCACACGCCAAATTCTCTCTATTGGAATTACTTGTGCTGCTGAATCCTTCCCTGTCGCATTTCAAAGAAACAATTTTTGCGAGATGCTGGTTGCCTGTTAATATTTTGAATCTT